GCTATTCAAGACTTGTACACAGCAGAGGCAAACGATGCTGAGCTAGCTAATATACGCTCGATCCTCCAACAAAGTTCTAATGAGAGACGGAATGAAACACGACGACGATTACCGGGCCTGTTGCGAGCATACAGGATTGTCGATAATATCCTGTGCCACGTAAAAAAACGACAATCAGCAGGCACCGTCTGGCTCCCAGTTGTACCTGTGAGCTTGCGGCTGGCAATACTTCAAGCATGCCATGACGCTCCAAGTGCAGGCCATCTTGGGCGAGAAAAAACCTAGACTAAGGTCGCCGCACGCTTTTGGTGGCGCGGCCTACGTCAAGACGTCGTTCGGCACGTTCAGACACGCGGACACTGCCAGTTCCGGAAGACATCTACTACTAAGTGGGACGTACCCCGTTGCCCAGTCACACCTCCAGAACATCCGTTTGAGCTAATTAGAAATGACTTTCTCGGACCTTTTCCGAAATCCCGGAGCGGAAATTGTTATGTCATAGTCGCAGTTGACTACTTAACCAAATGGGTAGAGGCCCTAGCGGTGCCAGATGCTACCGCAGATTTCCTAGAGGAGTTTATTGATGTCAACATTGTTCTGAGATATGGCCCGCCACGCGCAATAATTTCAGACCGTGGTACACCGTTCATGTCTCACTATTTTAGAAACTGTCTGGCGAGACATGGCATACGACATTCTCCGACATCCGTGTACCATCCTCAAACGAGCGGTCTAGTTGAGAGGAACAACCGTACACTTACAGATATCTTGTCTGCCTATGTAAACTCCAATCATATTAATTGGGATAACTTTGTCCTACACGCCATGTTCGCACTGAACACATCACAGCAAGAAACCACAAAAGAAGTACCGTTCAGACTCTTATACGGTCGTGACGTGACGCTGTTTATTAAGACAAGACTTGGGGTGAATGGGACACAACGTTGCAGGGACACTCAACGTGCTTCTCTTGATGAAATACGTAGACAGGCACGGGACGCCATTCGGCGAAGTCAGGAAGAGACTGGCAATGTGTCAGAGGCCGGTATCCATAATGTGCACGAGTTTCAAATTGGAGATAAAGTCCTGGCGAGACGGACCTTGCAGTCTGTTGGGAGAGCTGCTAAGTTTCTTCCCCGATACCGAGGGCCTTATCGAATCTTGGAACGGAGAGGGCCTGTCACCTACTACCTCGAGGACCTCACTGATGGACGACCTCCCGGCACACACCGCTGCTTTCCTGAGCACGTATCGCATCTCAAGCTATACATCCCACGAGCGCGCCAAGTCCAAGTTCCGTAAAAACTGTGGACATCTTTTGCAGATACAAAATGACCACTTTTGTTTTGTTTCTTCAGTGGGACGGGGGAGAGTGCTACGATAAGAAAGGGAAAGAAGAGGAAGACGACTGGAACTGAGAACGGGACGGCTCGACTGAGTGACTGAGGAGATATATCGTTACAATATGTACAATGAACATGGTGGCGGGAGGCCGAAGGCGTGGATATATATATATATATACCGGGTGTGTTTCATTTTAATTTTAGACTGACAGGGTAATTGATATCCGTTGAATGTGCTTGTTCTTTGATTGAATGCCTTTGTATTTTATTTTGTTCCCTCTGACTGCTGCAGAATGTCACTGGGGCTGAGAGCTTGTCAAGCCGTCTGTCGCGGCTTTTATTCACGGGCCCCATCATTACCTGTAATGGGAAATGAAAATAAAGCTTATTATTATTATTATTATTATTATTATTACTATTATTATTATTATTATATTCAAATTAATAATTGATTATAGTATTATTTATATGAGGTGGAGGGGAGGGTACGGAGAACCCTCCTCGTCCTCCTCCGGTTACGCCGACGCCGCAAAATACGGGAACGAGCGCCTAAGAGCTGCGCTCTGAAAACAAATGTTTTCTGCAAATATATATATATATATTTTTTTTCATTGTGCGATATTGAATGTTTGTGAACTCACTTTTCGAAACAAACTGTCAATGGTAGTTTCTGCATGTCGCTGAGAGATGTCCTATTTTCAGTTATCCAGTTGTTCGCCACTGTAAGTGCTCGATGGAGGCTTCGTGGGAACTTAACGACATGAGAGCGCTGGCAAAGAAATGTAAAGCCTCAAAAAATTTCAGAGGCCGGAGCCAACTTCTTCGCGGGCATGCGCAAGCGACTCGAGGGTCTGAATTTGTGCAGCTATTTTCAACCTGTCAGTCGCCATGCGATATGCCCGCGTGAAGGTTTTTTTTCTTATTAAAATTTCTTAAGTGCTCCTGGTACTGTCAATCGAAAGTTCATGCCCGCTAAGGCTCTCAGTTGAAATGTCGTTCCATTTCTATATGAACCGAGTGTTTTTTTTGTTTTTTTGTTGTTTTTTTTTTACAGCGGAGGTGACAAGTGCTATATTGGAATTCTCGGTTTGAGCAAAGGAGTGCCAAGGCAGATCAGAGCGCCGCGATTATATTTTCCTCGTTCGTTTTTTTATGTATGAATGGTTTGGTTTACGGGGCCTCCAACCAAGTCTGTCCCATTCGGCGACGATTAATGAGTGTCTCGGTCGCCTTCAGCGGTAGATCGAATTTAGTGGTGGACGCAGTTTACGACATTCTCCAAAATGTCCTAGGCAAAGTGGGAAAAATCAGGAAGGTTTTTCTTCTGCGTTAATTATTCATTCGTTTATTTATTTAAGCCAGAGGCCTTTTAGGCCATGACATAGGGAGAAACAAAAATCAATACCCAGAAACTCGTATTGTCATTAGCATCGGACTCTGCCATGATAAATTTTTCCAGGCCACGTTACGGTATCTGACTTCCTATAGTATAAGCGAAGCGGGTCGTCGCAACTCAACCGACCGACGCTTAGATTCAGAAAATGTTAGATATCATTATTAGTGCGGAACTCGGAAGTGGCCTGTTCTTTGGGTCTAGGCATAGTCTCTGGGACTCCCTTTGCTATTCTATGCAGCGCTTTGAACCTCTCACGTGACTACGCACCCCACGCGTCACTGTTGATCGCTGCGTTTCTCCCTAAAGTTCACGTGACGCTCATGTGGCACGGGATTGGCTGGGATGGCTCGCAGCATCCGCTGCGATACATCGTAAGGTGAAGCTCCGAGTATGGCTGCTTCGGAGGATCGAGGAGATCGGCTTTCCGCGTAAAATGAACGACCTACGCTAAAAATCAGATAAAGAAAACCGGCCCGATCTGCTCCTCTCTCGATCCCAGAGACGTTTAGTCGCTGCGATCTGTGGCGGGTCCGCACGATCGAATAACGAAGCTGAGAGAAATTCTTGACTTTGAAGTATAATTCTCAGCGCTAAAACTCGCGAACGTTCCTCTTCTTCGGTATTCCCTGGCGACAGCGCATTTTCGGACCAATCCTGTGTCCAGGATTGATCCGGGGATCAGAGAGAGTGACTCGAAAGATCTCCGTAGCACGAAGGGCTCCGATATACTTTTTTAGAGTATGTAGCTGGTCGATACTCTAAGCCCTCACACTCACAAGATTCTTCTTTTTTTTTTTTTTTTAAGGCGCGTAAGACAGGGGGAGTGGGAAGACACTAATTGGTAAATAAGTACATCTGTGAAAAATAAATAACAGAACAAAATTGCAAATAACCGCACGAAGTACTTTGTGCGGTACAATAGCATTTTTGATTTCTCTGTAGTCCGGCGATTGACAGCGGAAGTAATTGCGTTGTTAAAATCTGTGCTTTAGGAGCCTTCTATTTGGTAGAATAGATATGTGCGAGATATGTGCCACATCACTGGCGCGGTTGTCTGAGAGTCGCCGGCTGTGAGAAGAGAGAGTGTTACGGCGGCGGAGATATCATTCTCTTCCCACGGTCACGTTGATTTTTAACGCAAACGCCGCCGGATTATACTGAAAAGGAACAATAAGAACTACTGCTTTAAAATAACAGGACCACAATCAACGCGAGAAAATCACGTACCCCCCAGCCCGCTCTTCCGTGCGCCCGCGGAGCTCGATTTCCCAAAATCCGCAGTCGCGGAAGCGATGCCCACCAGCGCGCGGCCCTCAAAGCCGGCGGCTAGAGCGCGCTGAGGGCGTCCAGAGCTCGCGGCGTCCACCGCAGAGTCCGAGCACGCCAAGAACGGGCGCAGCGAGCAAAGGAAGTAGCGAGCGGTCCGGCGAAAAAAAAGCACCAAACAAGCGAGCGCCGCACAAGGTGCAGGCGAGGTGTGGGGAAAAGAGTTCCTCGCCACAGCTGCGAAGAACGACGGAGAAGGGCAGAACATTATTTTCCTGCGATCATGTGGGTTTCTTGCATTTGAACATCGTCATTTTCGCCGGAAAGGACACTAACAGCCACCACTGTAAAGTTCAGGTTAACGGGTTGATTAACGCTTTCCTGAAAAGAAGGTCACTTCCAGCAATGGAAGCAAGTCCGCTGCATTGCTCGATGCCCAGACCGTCATCCATAATGCATAATAGAAAAGCTGAGTCAACTTCGTCGATCAGGTTATTAAAAAAAGAGTGCTTCGCGTTAGCACAGGGGAACGTGCTCACGATGAGCTTCAGTTTGCATTTGAGGGATCTGAGCGACACCAATCACGTTCGGGAAAATCGCGTTATAACATATGGTTATATGCCGCAGTTGTAAATTCCTAGGAAATATTATTAAGCTTTCGCATGTTCATTTTTCTTCTGGATTGTGAATATTGTTTTATATTTATATATAGAACTCAATTTAACGAGCGTTAGCCACTAAAACGAAAAGCTACACTGCTCCTGCTGCTTCCCAGGCCGACAGGTTGTTAGTGTGAAGTTAAGCACCAACAGCGCCGAAGAAAAACGAGCAAATACGCTTGACACGAAATAACGAGCGCCAGGCAACAAATAAAGCTGCATAAAGGGGCAAAAAAAAGTTGGTGTAGACGCTAACGATGTCTGCATCCACTGGCATTACAAGTCGTTTATCATCCTTTTTTATTTTTTCTCCCTCTTTCTTTCTGTCTATTGCAGCATGCTGATCCTGCTGGGAACCCTCGTGGGCGGCATCTCGCAGTAAGTTGTCTCCATCAGTAAACAGTAATCGTGTTGTGTGTTTGTTTAGACGGTTAGTCAGCCCCAGCGGGCGTCTGGTGTCTGCGCTGTAGATGAGACATTAAGCCATTACAGTACGACTGCTAGCCTGGGGTGTTTAACGTGCATCACGCCGTAGTGATACACGACCTCACACCGTTAAGACGCTGATCCAGATCGAAGCGATCTGGTGGTGGTGAATTGAGCCCTCGCTCCACGCCATCGAAGCTGCAGCGCGTTCAAACGCTCGACCACCGATCACCCCGTAATTTTTGTTGGGTGTATACGTTTATACGGCGGGAAGTCAGCCAACTCCAGCGGGTGTCGGGTATCTCCGCTGCTGACGAGAAATTCAGCCCGGGGATCTAATACGGACACTGGGCGAAAAAGTCGACGAGAAATTCGGCGGCCGTGATTGCCCGACGCCGCTCTTGACATTGGCGCCGGCCAATCACGGCAGTAGAATTTTTTTTGCCAACTTTTCCCCTAAAGTGTTCATATTAGAGCCCCAGTGCAGTACCACCTCTAGCCTGCAGGGGGGTCTTTAACCCGTATTATGCGGTAGTGGCACACGACCGCATGTCGGTATACGATGCTGGTTCAGATCGAAACGGGCAGGGGTGGGTATTGAACTCGGGAACTCCTAAGTTCTGTAGCGGTTCTCATTATGCATGGAATCTCCCAGGTGCAAGATGGCCCAGAAACAAGCACGTGGGCCAATCGATTTGCGATGGCATCGACCGCACGTTTCGATCGAACGGCAAATCGATTTAGAAGACGCGCTCATCTCATAGCGAGGCTATATGCACGTATCGCTGTAAATGCACGCGCGTGCACCGCTTCAAATGGGTTCTTGAGTGCACGCGCATCTGCTACCTTCTGCTCGTTTGGCGGTTTGCGATGAACCTTTTGAAAAAACCGTTTAGTAAGGTGTTATTCGGGGCTGCTTCGGACAAAAAGGGTTGCGTTGTCTACGCGCAGAGGCGTTTCTGAGGACTGTCCATGCGAATTAGTTTGTCCCCGTTGGTAATGGTCCCATCGGTACACGCTCTAAGATATCTGCAGCGTCTACACGCTCACAAAAGAACTTGGGGGAGTCAGTCGTATAGCAAGAGCAATACGTGGATGGAGTTCGGCGAATCACCAAACTACGATTACGTTTAGACCTAAATAAGAACAGTTCGCGCTGTTGCGCTGGGCGTGACGTTTCACGGCGATCAATGCCGCAGCGCAGACTGATTTTAGATCTAAACATATAATTCATCATCGTCGTTCGTCGTGTTTCCTCCATAGATTACCGCGATTGACTATCTTTTATGCTTTGCCAGAAAGTGTACGCTCAGATTTATTGGAGTATATAGATGCGTGCGAATAGCGGTCACGATAAAATAGCACTCCGTCATTCATAGTCGTCGAGTGCGAAAGAAAAATATTTCGAACCGGAGACGACGGACGAAAAAGTGACTACACGCGCAACAGGTCTGAAATTATGTGTCACTTAAAGCAGCTCACCTCCTTACTTACTTTGCTTGCTGAGCAAGGACAGGCGAACCTGACCTCATCGTGTGCGACTGCCTCGTAGAATCTACTAACGAATTCAGAATTGTGGCAATTCAAATGTACACGACATTTAAAAATGTATTTTTATTACACGAAAGAAGAATGGAACGCCAAAATTAAAGACCCTCCCAATCAGCGTCACCCTCACTATTAGCACGAGACTACCAGTGTTTCACAACTTAAAGTGGTCCAACTGAGAAGTCGAAAGCGAGTTACAGAAGCTTTCAATACGAAAATGAAGACGAATAGCTCGTGCTGGTAAAAATGGACGGCACTTTCTTGCTAAATATTTTTGAAACGCAATGATATTTGTGGATGCTATCCCAACCGTCAATGTGATATTCGGTTGAAGACTGAGCTTGTTGCGACGCGTTCGCTTATTTGTGCCGAGTAAACCAAAAATCACAGTTTGGCTTCGCTTAAAGGCCCTGTGCTATTTGCACGTCTCTCAGCCGATCCGTCTTGTGCGGAGACTGTTCCCTACGGGTCTCTATATTAGGGAAGTGAAGCTCCGCTTCTCTTTCGGTATTATTGTGGGTGTAACGTGTCGCGGCACTAGGCCCGTCACAATACATTCGGGGTGCTTATTTTCAGTTATGATCCGGTTCGCAGAAACTAGCGCTGGGTGTCGATTAAAAATCTTAGAAATAACGGAGTAGGTACAAGCCAGCTGGTGAACTTTCGACATTTTGAATACCCGAGACTACGAGACTAGGAAAAAAAAAGCTATCAATACACACGGACGGGTGTGTGTGCGTGTGTGTGTGCGTGTGTGTGTGTGTTTTAATTGTCCACTTTTTTTGTTTTGTTCCCATCATCTTGGGTGTTCAAATGTTAAACATTTTAGCGCAATTGATCTCTACCCTTTAGTCGATTAATAAATCAATTAATTCGTTTTGTTCACATTTAGGGATAGAACCTGAAAAATGTCAAAACTTTATACGCTTTTCGTTTACTATTTCTTGCTATGCCACCGTGCAATTTGCCGCCTCTTTTCAAACTTGACGGCATACCGCCTACACACACACAAAAACAAACACGAGCAAACCATTTTAAAAATGAGATATTTATGATTAGGGAATGCTGAAGTGTTGTACCGTGTAATACAACAAGTGCTGCCTCCTAAAATGCATGAATGCACACAAGTAGTAAAACCAGCACTCCTACTCTCTCCCTCAACCGATTAACGGGTGATGTATTGCGATTAAAGCATTAACAGAATAATCGGAAGGTATGGTTTATCAGTATCACATCGCTGCAGAATAACTGTGTGTACTATCGCGTTCAGTATGATTTGAAACTGTCCTTCAGTGATTATTTAGCGTGTAATTGCCAGGTTTTTAGAGAGCGGTGTTTTGAACTTGGAATATAATGCAAATTTAACTTAGATCACACTGCTTGATGGGACCGCAGACGCTAAAAAAACAACAGACGGTGTGTTTCGGCTCAGTTTGTACGCGGGGGTACTTGAATGGTTCATGCTTGCTTATCACAGCTAACAATCCTGTGATCATAATGATCTATTTTTAATGCTAAATAATTAACTATTCCATGGAGCGAAAGTGGCAACGTCTAAAACCGCAAAAAAAACCAAAAAACTTTCAGTCTTTTCAGTCTGGTGAAGAAAGAGTAGCGGAGCTGTACTATGTGCCGCCATCTATGAGCGACGGCGACAAGCTGACAACCGGCAAGTCGATTGTCTGGTTGCCGCCGTCGCTCATAGATGGCAGTAGCTGTCCAGAGGGTTGTATCGAGATTTATTTGTCCACGGACAGGAAACTGGGAAACTATATTCCGTTTCACCTGATGTTGTACCGAAGCGAAGGCTAGAAGCGTGAGCTCACAGCGTTGGCAGCTGCCCTTAATGCACGAGAGCCTGTGCCGCCGAGATGTGCCCCCGAGCAAGGAGCTTGCGCTTGTAGCCTTTCCTGCGGTACATCAAAAGGTGAAACAGAGTATAGCCCTTAACAGCTCCGCTTAAAAAAAAAAACGGAATAAATGCCCATTCTTTTATTGGCTGAACAAAACGGCTCCTATAGATGGCTATAGGAAGCATTCACTGGCGGCCATAGCTGTGTGCGCGACTGCTGAGCGCGTGCTGATGGCGAGCTTCCACAGTTCTTTTGTAACGTGCAGTCCGCACCCTCAAGATTGCTGGTCTTAGCAGCCTATTAATGTGGGCTCGTTCTGAGCATGCGCTCTCGACATCACCCACAAATATGGCACCCAGTGAATACTCCTTATTGGCGGCTGCTGCACGAGAGCGCGCACTCGGCCGCCGCTCTTGTGGCAGGCGTTGCAGGAAGGGGGGCTGCGGGTGGTTCACGAGAGCACGCGCTCGGCAACCTCGGCAGTAGCGCAACGTGGCCGTCCACGCCAGTACACCGCAGACGAAAAGTGAGCGGAAGAACGACATTCATGCTTTCCCATTCACAACTCACAAGAAGTGCTCAGCTGTCCCCGAATTTTTTTTTTCTTATTGTTTCCGTTTAAAGGGGAGCTGTATTTGAAAGGACATTAACCTTAAAGCAATGTGTAGCTTCCGCTTTAATACTGACATCAGGTATTAAACAAAATCTCGACAAAGAAACCTCCACAGGTTGCTGAAAAATAATGAATAAATATAACGGGCGATATTAAAGGAAGGCAGAAGATGTGCTCGGTCATTTATGCTTCCTATGTCACAACGTCCTAAAAATAATAAAACAGAATTATCGGTTTTTTCCACTACTTTCTCTCCTCGACGGCAGGAATCGTTTCTTGGGCGTAGGGTAACGGCGTAGTTTCCGACACCGTGTGCGGCAGCCCCACAAAATTCATCTTAAATTCACGTTTTGCTTTCTCACTTCTTGAAACGAAAATTCATAAAAACGCTTTACCGATCTCTTTCCCTCTCTCTTTCTACGAATATTACGCTAACATATGTTGCCATGTCAGAACAAAAAGAACATTTAAGGGGCGATGCAACAATTTTTGTACCGCAAATACCACTTAAAACGGATCCCTGACGTTAATGACCTATGAAACACACGTTCGTTTTTCACCCCACGCCAATAGAAGTTCCAGAAAAAATTAAAGAAAAACGAGCAGCGTTCGCCCCCTCAACTCTCTGCCTCAACTCACAGCCAGAACAAGCGGCCACGTCATCTGGAGCCGATTATATGCCGCCAATATTGATCATAGCCACGCGCTGGGGTAGGCAAAGCACAGGACACGCGCTGAGTTCCAGACATTGTTATGGCTCGGCTATTGTCGTCGTTGCAGCGATTGGACACGGGCCACTACCCGAATGCATGTCGAGGCATCGATTGTCACGAGCCCATATCGAATGTGTACGCAGTCTTCGCGTCCACTGTGTGAGCTGCATTTGAATATCGTCACCGCAAAACTCGATGACGCATTCCCGGGGATCGTACTTTTGCCATTGTCCGCACAGCTCCGTCATCAAATTTCGCGAAGGAGCAAAAGGCGGCTTTGGAAGGAGAGACTGAAAGAAAAGCTCCGCTTTCATCCTTTGAATTCCACCGCGACGAAGACGCTTCTTGGTCAGTGGTGTTGCGTTCGATTAGTCTTGGGTCCCACTAGTGCCAGGAAGCTGGTGTAAAGTAAGAAATATTCCTACCCAATGTCGTTCCACAGCCCCTTTAAGCGAGATCAAAATCAAGATTACAAATTTCCCTCGAGCTTTTTTTCTTTTTTTGTCGGAAGTTTTACAACATACACTAAAAATTCCCAAACACACGCGAAATATGTCGTCAGAATGCATTTTCAACGCGCTTTTTTTTTTAATATACTTTTACGAAGCTGCCGAAGTGCAAATAGTTTTCATTTAGATATTTCTTTTAAATACTCAGTATCAATAATGTAAACAAGCGGTTCTTTATCCAGTATTGTGACATCACTATAACTGTTTATGATAAAGTCTGATAGGGAGAGGGTAGAGGGCTTTGTGAAAGGAGCTGGTCCTAGTTTCTTAACCTGGAACCGACTATAGTTTAGGATTGCGTAAACAATCCTCATTGTGGTTTTTGTCCTCTTCTCTTCTTTTATAAATATTTTCACGGCTACGAGACGTTCTTTGACAGGATTACAAAATCAAGTTAAACACCGAATCATACATACGAGTATTTTTTATATGACTCTCAAACAAGGTCGCACATTGAACACATTGCCGAGTCACAACAATCTCATCAATTTGTTGCGAGTCCTGGGTTGATGCATTAGAGTTTCAGCTATTACACGCGCACGCTTTTATCCCATCGAATTACTGGTGCCCGCCAGCTTCCACTTAGACAAGTGGCAACGCCATGCTATTTCACCTCAAACGTTAGCCGCGTTTGGTGCGACTCGGGAGCCGCTCACTTGATCGAATGACGTTTTAGCGAACGCCCACGTTTCATCGAATGACACTTTAGCGAACAGTCGGACGCCGCGAAGCGGCGTTTTCGGGTGGGCCAAGTGGGTTCAGATTTTTGTAATGAGCCGCCGCAGACTGTCGCCGCGAAACGGCGAAAGCGCAGCGCGGCGGATGCGTTAACGCGTGCCCCCGTTATTCACTAAAACGTAGATTCGCTCAAATGCTGTTCGCTAAAACGTCATTCGCTCATGTGACATGGACCCGTGCGACCCAGTCGTTTGTCTTATAAAGAGTGCAGCGTCGTCTTGTGGATGTCATACACGATAGACGGATTGGGAGGCGTGTTTATTTTGACCTCGAAACGCTTCTTTACTTGTTTGACCTGGTACCTTAGTGCGATAGGAGGCAGATGAGAGACGCGTGTTTCTTGTATGAAGTAGTAAATATCATCATAGACGGATCTCACCAGCCAGTTTGACTACAGTCTGGTTCAGACAGTTGTGTTTGACTGCGTTTGACTGGGTTTGACTGCGTTGCGGCTGGGAAAAACCAGGACATTCCTGTTGCTTATATCGCGTGCTAAGATGATTCCTTGAATTGGATTCCGCGCTTCATACGAAGCACAGATGTGCCGGTGACTCGCTTTCGGTTCTCGACGCAACGCAGTCAAACGCACTCAAACGCAAGTGTCTGAACCGGCACCGCCTCCGCAATGCCTGGATGGTGAACTTTAGGCTCTCTGCACTTGCGACAGTCTCGCAGAAGCTCTGCGCGTGTAGAGCACGAGACGGCACAGTCCCTCGCAAGCACGGCAGCCTGCCTCCTTTGAACTAAAGTTATGGCGGCGTCACGCACGCGCCGAACGCTTAGTGAGACTGGTCTATTGATGCACCGTCGCTTCTTAGTGGCAGTTTATTTTCTGTTCCAAGCAATCACGTCAGAGCTTTCTCTTTGCTTTACTCAGTGAATGTAAATTTTGGATCACCTATGACACACATGCAATTTTCCTTTACCCGCGAAAAAAAAACGACCTAAATTCGTTGCTTCCTTAGTTTCCACTTTTTCCTTGTTGGTGTCTTTGTTTTGTTCTTCCTGTCGCTTTGTTTGTAAAGTGCACACTAATAAGGCGAAAGCTGTTTGTGGCGCACTCTGAGCGGAACAAATAAATATGTCAGCTTAATTCCTAATGCCGCATTCACTGTTTCCTTTTTGGATTAGAACCTAATCCTTCGTACAAATACCGTCGACAAAATATAGAATTCGTTTCCCAAAATAATTCTAAGCTGACACAGAAACAACACTATACAAAACTGGCGCAAGCAAAAAAGAAGCATACAAAAAGCAGCGACACCCGAAGTACTCTCCCTTAATGACAAATTTTGCTGCAGTCGCATCTCAAATCAGAAATAAAAAAAAAAAAAAACAGATCCTAATTGCGCCTTCTTTTTGTGTGTGTGTGTTACAGCTTCACGGACTCGGACTACGTGCCCACCTTCTCGCCGGACACTTTTTTTCTCTTTCTGCTTCCACCGTGAGTACGGGGATTTTGTTACACCTCGAGTTTCCCTTTAAGCTTAGACTGTCGCGTTTCAGTGTGACTGAGTGCTCTGCGCTTGCATGTAACCGTCTACGACGAGAGGCTAGTGCTGCCAGCTATCGGGTAGCCCTGGAAACCTCTTGGTCTGCGTCTATACTAGACTCAAGTTTTTGCGGACTTTTGCGAGGTCAATTATGCGCACTTGTGGTCGCGAATAACAGCGACAGAATTATTTGGAGCCCACCGCGAAAGGATGATCCGTAATATAGAAAATGTGTACGAGCATGTCGCGAGTCTTCCAGGACTGCTCGACGGATGGCGCTGTTGTGCCTGCGTGTTCTTTCTTCGTCAGTGATTACACGCGACAGTGTACTGGGGCTCACTCTGACCCAACTGTATGAACCAGCTTTTATACAGTTCTAATTAGTGCGAAGTTGTACCAGCAGTGCCGATGCCAGTTTTTGTCGCGTTGCACTGCGGTCGTTTTTTATTTAGCGGGTTTTAATGTGTTTAGCTGCGCGTTTGCACGCTTGTATATGAATGATATTACTTAAAAAAAAAAAAAAAAAAAAAAAAGATGGGAAGGTAACGAGTGTGTTTGTTGTCATGTTTTGCCTCAGTGTTCGTCAACATTTCCTAATTAAAAAAAAAACGTAAAAATACCGAAGTTGTTGCGCACTTCCGGTGGGTGTTCATTAGGACTCGTTCGGTCCCCACAACCGGAACGATTAAAGTTTTCAAATTTAAAATGAGTTTTGAGATATGGTGCGTACTCCGTTTTACGTTAGATCAAACCGCAGCCAACGCTATACGATCCAATAGGAAGCTAATCGGGCAACGCCAGAAGTGTTTGTCGTCACGGTGCTCGGATCGTCTTTGTGCGTTTGGCATTAGAGAGTTTTAGGGAAACGTTTTTGCACATCCGGTATACAGTGCGATGGGCCCTCCGGTACGCACTGCGCATGCGCGAGTCTTCTGCGGTAGCACATGCGCAGTTCGTGCCGGAAGGCCCGTCGAATACCTCATCGGATGTACAAAAACGGTTGCCTAAAGCTCTCTATTACGTAATATGCATATCTCACAACAATAACAAAAAAGAAAAAGAAAAGCGCAGGATTACGGCGCAATCAATCTGCTTGATTGGCTCCATTGGATGCAGTATATCGGCGGCTGCGCTGTCATCGCTTTACAGTTCGCTGCGGCGGGCCCCCGAGGTTTCGTACTCGAGTAGAAACGTCGTACGTCCGCTTCTGTTCCTTCGTTCTTCACGCTTAGACTTGCGACGTGAAACCTGTCTGTGTGAACGATAGGGTTTATACGATAAATCTAGAGGTAAAGGACCACCATCTTCCCGCGCATTTAGCCTCTTCAGAAGAAGCCTTGGAGAGCCATGGACGCGGACATCGGGGATCCTGATGGGCCCATATGGCTCACGACACTTTAATATATGCGCACGGAAGCAGCAAAACATTGCTCGCATGGCCTGTACCTGTATTCTAGCTTTTCTTTCTTTTTTTCTTCTTTTTTTTGTTTGCAAGAAAACACCGGCATTGTAGAGAGAGAGAGAGAACAACTTTACTGAAAATGCCTGCAGAATCGGTTAGGCTCCCTCCACGCAGGGAGGACGAACTTTCACCGCGACGTGGCCACTACGTCAGTCTCGTGCGTTCTGCTCAGTCTTGTACACGTTACTAAAAAAAAGCAATCGATTACAATTACTATTACTCTTGGCAAAAAAGTATTCGATTAGATTACTTGGTTACTCGAAGGCAAAAGTAATTGGACATTACTTAAAGAAGTAATCATTACTTTTCCGATTACTTTATTGTGTGAAGAGACATCTTTAGCGCTCATAACAATGAACTACTTCCAACCTATATTTCGCATTTGCACAAGTATTGAACAAGAAAAACTGGCTCCCTCTTCATGGTCGTTGCACCTTCGCAATGCGGACACAAGGATGGAATTCGTTTGAAGACGTTTAATGATTTGGGCGTTCGCCAGTGTGTGTGTACGCGTGTATGTGGGGGGGGGGTAACCGGACAAAAGCTCACCGGACAAAAGCTCACCGGACAAAAGCTCACCGGACAAAAGCTCACCCGTTTTTTCACAGACCCGGACAAAAGCTCACCTCATTCTTTTTTTTTTTTTGCTACCCGGAGGCGATGGACATAGCACCATTTTTAGGAGAACTGGCATCCCATCCCATGGAAAGATGTCGATAGATAAGCCATAACAGGCAGAGAAGCAACGGTTTGGGACCAAAATTTAGGCCACTGAAACTGAGTGGAGCTGATAAGATAAAGCTTGCTTGACTCAAGGTACGCCGGAGCACCCTTGTTCCACGCCTGGAACTTCATGAGCCGAAGCTTTTGAACCCGAAGAGTGACCGAAGAAGCGAAGTCGCCCTTCTGTAACCTCGCTTTTCCTTTGTGCTTATGTCACGCTAAACGCGCATATGAAGGTTAGGCACGATGTTTCTTCATTACTAATGCATGAGGCTGATTGAATGCCTTCAGGAGAGTCAGGCGCTCGTTGCTACACAAGCCCGGGGAGGGGAACCCCCAGAGAAGCGGGTGCCAAAACCACTCTGCACCTGCAGAATCGTCTGAAAAAGGGGTTCCGGTACACCCAGATCTACCAAGACTGCTGCAGCTGGCAAGGGACTGCATTCACTTCTCACCAATCGATAATTAAACCTGTTTCTACTCTAATCAAATAGCCATGCGCCTGTCACATTTAATTTATCGTTGCATTTTAGTGTCGCACGCATGCACCAACATGAAATCTTCTCTTGGTGAGCTTTTGTCCGGGTCTGTGAAAAAATGGGTGAGCTTTTGTCCGGTGAGCTTTTGTCCGGTGAGCTTCTGTCCGGTGAGCTTTTGTCCGGTGAGCTTTTGTCCGGGATTCATGTGGGGGGGGGGGGGGGAAGGAGCGGAGGGGGTTCTAGATCTTGTTAAGCTTGAGCAAGGGTTGTCGCTCAAAGTTTGCGTCGCTCATTTTATTATTCACATGTGGATGAGCTCGCATGTTATACAAAAGAGCAGTTACAGCTCCAGGATTTGAAACGGATCATGTGTAGTATCCATTAGCGGAAGAGATCGCCCCGACCACTTCTCAACTCGAAACATTGCTTGTCACAGATACCACGTAGGGGAAATGGGGAAATATTTCGACTGCCTTTGTTATATTTTGCATCCGCTTTAGGCATTCTTCGGTTCTGGTTCTCCTACGGGCTGCGAGTAGGTACCCTAAGCAGGATTTTTTTATTTCTTGATTTCTGCGTGTGTGTGCGTGAGGGGGCTAGTTTGAACGAAGGACTCACAAAGCTACATTCTGCTTCCTCAAACTTCGCCCTGAATGGCCTTTGTCACGCACTGTGGCTTTCCTGGGGCTTCAAACTCCCAATCCCAGCTCAAAAAGAAAAAAAGAAAACAATAAAAAAAAACGGACTTTCCACAGAAACTGTACATAAATGAGATTGACATCGTTTCCTACAGCTCCGCACAAATCTTTCTTTTTTCCGTTCGAAAATTTTTTTTTTTTTTTATTTTTGTCATTTTATTAAAAAAAAAGGCGTGTGTGTGTGTATGTGTGTGGGGGGGGGGGGGGAGGGGACCCGTGGACAAATTGTAACGGTTACAAGTAATTTTTATTACTTCAAGAAGTAATCAGATTACTCTTGTGATTACTGCCTAATAAAAGTAATCAACTGATTACAAAATTACTCCAAAAATTAATCGATTACAAGTAATTTGATTACTTGTAATGCGTACGGTACAAGTCTGGCTTCTGCTCCTCGAGGTCTTGCTTCCTCGCTACTTCCGCGGGTCCGAGAGGGCCGCCGCCTCCTTCCTGGGGGTGCTGCTCCCGTTCTCCCCGGTTTCGCTCGGTCGCTGCCTCTCTAGAGCTGCCGAGACCCTTGATCGTAGCTCCTCGTTGCAGCCTCTAGCTGCGGCGGGATCGTCGTCTTCTCGCTCGCTTCTCGCGGATTTACGCTACAGTCCCAAAGGATGTGAGCCGCAGTAGCTCCCTCCTTCGCGCACAGTCTACACACGTCACTCGCGTACACACTCGGACAAAAAAAAAAAAAAAAAGAAAGCTGACACGCAATCGAACAACTTGTCGCGGTGAATACACGCCCAATCTATCGTCTGCTTTCATATTTCCCCGCTTCTCTGTCGCTCTCTTTCTCGTTCTTTCTCTCGGGACTACCGGTGTCAACGCTTGCGATTTTCTCCGTTCTGTCCTGTCTTTACCAACACCCCCCCCCCCCCCCCCCCCCCATTTTCATTTTCGCTCGTCATATTATTGTCAAATGTTATTGAATACAACAAAGTTTTACGCAAAGCATGAAAGCGTGACAAACGTTCAAGATTGCTTTGTGGTAAGAAAAGCTATAATTGATTTGTAATTAACATTCAAATCAGAATAAATGTTTACCTATAAGCAAAGCTGCTTTGTGATAACACAAATTATCAAAATTGATTTGTGATAACGAAGGTTATCCCACTTGCTTCGTGATAAACGTTCGTATCGCGATAAATTTTTACCCGGAAGCAAAACTGCTGTCTGATCAACGCTGAAATTTTTTTTTTTTTTTGGATGACTAAGTTTTTTACAGTTGCTTTGTGAGAAACGTTTACGTCGAGAGTATTTTTAGACCGAAGCAAAAATCGTTTTTGTGATAAAAGCTTAAAACTGCTTTGTAATAACGAAGGTTACCCGACTACATCTCCGTTCAACGTGCATATCTGTATAAATATTTACCGGCGAGTAAACTTGCTTCGTGAGAAACCAATTCCGGGTCAAGAGGTCCAACGAGTCAAAAGATCCAACCCGTCAAAAGATCCATTATTGGACGTTGTGACCCGTTGGACCTTTTGACTCGTTGGACCTCTTGACTCGCCGTGGATCTTTCGACTCGTTGGACCTCTTGACTCGTTGGACCTCCTGACCCACATTGGATCTTTTGACTCGTGTCTGACGAGTCA